AACAACAACAACAACAACAACAACAACAACAACAACAACAACAACAATCAATCAATCAATGAGAGTAAAATTAAAGAGAAAATATATATATGTACAAATATACAATACGGGCAGCACGGTGGCGCAACTGGTAGAGCTGCTGCCTCTCAGCGAGCAGGTCCTTGGTTCAAACCCCAGTCCAGGGGCCTTTCTGGGTGGAGTTTGCATCTTCTCTCCGCGCATGCGTGGGTTTTCTCCGGGTACTCCGGTTTCCTCCCACAGACAAAAAAAACATGCATGTTAGGCTGATTAGTAACTCTAAATTGTCCCTAGGTGTGAGTGAGAGAGTGAATAGTTGTTTGTCTCGTTTGTCTCTATGTGGCCCTGTGATGGACTTGCGAACCGTCCAGGGTGTCCCCTGCCCCTCGCACAGTGATTGCTGGACATGGGCATTGGCGACCCCCGTGACCCAAAATGGAAGAAACGGGTAAAGATAATGGATGGATTGATATATATACAATACACTAATAACAATAACTGAAGAATTAATAAAAAGCATTTAAAACATAGGGTCACAGTTTATAAAAACACTAGATCAATTTACACTGTGTGAAATGCCTGCAAGAACAGATGTGTTTTAAGCAGGGATTTGAAGTGAGGAAGGGAGGTGGCCTGCCTGATGTTGGGGGGGCAGGTTGTTCCAGAGTTTACCATACCATACTATTTTATTTATTGAGCACTTAAAACAGCGACAAGGCCAACCAAAGTGCTGGGCCCATGACTGAAAAAGCCCGATCTCCTCTGAGCTTCTTGTTTTTGGAACAGCCAAAAGCAGCTGATCAGATGATCTCTGGGCCCGAGAGGGAACGTAAGGTTCCAGAAGCTCAGAGAGGTAAAGGGGTGCGAGGCCATTTAAGCATTTGAAGGTCAACAGAAGAATTTTAAAGACTATCCTCGTACGAACAGGGAGCCAGTGAAGGGAGGACAGAACTGGAGTAATATGTTCAGAGCTACAAGTTCCGGTTAAAAGCCGAGCAGCAGCATTCTGGACAAGCTGAAGATGTGAAATGGAGGCCTGGCTGACCCCAGCATACAGTGCATTGCAATAATCCAATCGGGTCGTGACAAAGGCGTGGACTAGATTCTCAAGGTCGGGTCTGGACAATACTGGATTGAGCTTAGCTACCTGTCTGAGTTGGAAGAAGCTTTTCTGCAGAAAAGAGTTGATTTGTTTGTCAAACTTGAAATCAGAGTCTAAAACCATCCCGAGATTTTTACCAGACTGCTTCAGATATGGCTGAAAAGAGTCCAGGTTGACAGGATCAGTGGCGGCAGTTGAGCTAGGGCTAAAGACAATGACTTCAGTCTTCTCATTGTTAAAACTTAAGAAATTTGAAGCCATCCAGGCCTTAATGTCGTCCAGACATTTTAATAGAGGGTAAATGGAGCAAACACTTGCTGGTTTCACAGGCAGGTAGATCTGGCAGTCATCAGCATAGCAATGGAATGAAAGACCTTGTTTCCTCAGGATGGACCCCAGTGGGAGCAAATAAAGTGAGAACAGAAGGGGTCCAAGAATCGAACCCTGTGGGACCCTGCAAGAAAGATGTAATGAGGCGGATACATTATTACCAACCTTGACACAGAAACTCCTGCCACTCAGGTATGAGCGGAACCATTCTAATGCAGCACCTGTGATCCCAACCCACTGTTCCAGCTGTGATAGAAGGATACTGTGGTCAAAAGTATCAAAAGCAGCAGTAAGGTCCAGGAGCACAAGTACCACAAATTGACCAGAATTGTTTGATATCATAATGTCGTCACAAACCCTTACTAATGCTGTTTCAGTGCTGTGGAGTTGCTTAAATCGCCATTTGTATAATTTTTGCTACATAAATTTCCGTGAAGTATTTTTTTTCAACATGATCAAAACTCACCCTAACAACCTATTGTATATAATTTGAGACATGTACACTGCCCTCTGCTGGAGTATCATTGCACTGCAGGCAGTGAAACGGCTTTTTTCCTTTTTTCAAAATTTCTTCTCCGATGAGAGTCGTCACATGTTTTTTTCTGGAAATTCTTTGCCAGTTTTAGAGAAGTTACGGTAAGAATAACATAAATTGTTATTCACTTTTTTAAATTAATGCTTTATGTTTTGAGACAGTGCACAATTACCTAAAATGTATTAATTTTATTGCAGTTAAATCGTGTTAAAATTTGTGTATCATATTTGGTACTGCAGGTATATAAGGTACTTCATCACTGAACAGTCATGTAACATTTTTGTAAAGTAATCTATGTCATGCCTGCTACAATACAGCCACAAACTATTTTGTTTATATATTATCATTAAATGCAATTTAAAAATTATTATTTTTTGGTTATTTCACTATAACAAATATTCTACAATTGTCTTAGTTATTTTCATCTTTATGGTGTATTGACCAGTTTTTTGTGTACTTTAGATGTCAAACAGGTTAGAGGAAGAGGAGAGAAAAAGAAAGTACATTGAAAATGTCATCATCATGATAGTAGATGGGAATTCAAGTGACAGAGCAGCTAGGAGAAGATGATGAGGATGATGATGAGGACTGGACTCCCCAGGTTGTGCAAGATGAAGGAAGTTCAGATAGCAGTGATGAGGAAGATCAGGATCAAAGTGTAGTCCAGACAAGCATGGAAGCTGAGGTCCCAACAACAACACTGGACACAGTCAGAAATGAATCAGGAAAGGCCAATGTAAAAAGGAAAGAATACAAATGGAGAAAAATAAAATATCAAGCTCCATCTGTCATTTCCATTGTCAGTCTTGAGGAAGGCACAGATAACAGGTGTGACATGACACCATACATGTACTTCAAGCAGTTTGTCACAGACAAAATGCTCCAGGAGATTGCAGAACAAACAAACATGTATAGTGTTCTAAAAGAGGGCAAGTCAATAAACACAACTGCAAAAGAGCTGGAGCAGGTTCTAGGCATGTATTTACATATGGGGCTCGTACAGATGCCCTGTGTGAGAGCCTATTGGGAGATGGAAACAAAGCTTCCTGCAGTTTGTGATGTGATGTCTAGAGATCGGTTTCTGAAATTGCTGACCCTAATTCACTTTCAGGACAATTTCAGGGCATCTGATGATGCAAAAAAAGACAAACTGTGGAAGCTCAGACCGTGGTTGCAAAAACTACGAGAACAGTTTCTCTGCATTCCGCCTGAAGAATGTCATGCTGTTGATGAAATTATGGTACCGTTCAAGGGAAAGTCTCATCTACGCGTCTACATGCCTGCAAAACCTCACAAATGGGGTTTCAAGTTGTGGGGATGTGCTGGACAAAGTGGCTTTCTTTATGACTTTAATATTTGCCAAGGTGCAGAAAATCCAACCAGGGAAAAGTCTGATGTTGGTGTTACAGGAGAAGTTGTGCTGAAAATGACATCTACACTTCCAGCAGGAAGGAATCACAAGGTCTTTGCCAATAACTACTTTACATCAGTTCCCCTGGTCCAACACCTAAAAGAGAGAGGAATCCATTACATTGGCACAATCCGCATGAACAGGATGAAAGATTAGATCATGAGGGATGAAAAAGAATTAAAGAAGAGTGGAAGAGGGTCAGTGGACTTCAGAGTGAACCAGAACAACATAATTGTGAGATGGTATGACAACAAAGCAGTGAACCTGATTTCCTCATTTGTTGGCATTGAACCAGTGGGAAATGTGAAATGCTGGGATCGCAAATCCAAAACTCATATAATGGTTCCCAGAGCAGCCATTGTTGAAACATATAACAAGTTCATGGGAGGTGTTGATCTCCTTGATATGCTTTCTGCACTTTACAAATTCAGCTTCAGATCCCGAAGATGGTACATGTACATCTGGTGGCACACTGTTACAGTAGCCATCATCAATGCTTAGAACCTGTGGAATTTCAGGTTTATCCTTCAGTATTATTTTAATCAAGTTTGAAATGATTTCAGGTTTATCCTTCAGTATTTATTTAGTCAAACTATCTTAAGTCTACTTTATAGAGAGATAGATATGTGGCCGAGATTATTTATGTTACTCACTCCCTCGGAGTGGGGGAGGTCTATGTCTTCAGTGTTTGGAATTAAAGAATGTCTTACCTGTCCTAGAGTCTGTTGTGATTCGCTTGTACTTATACCCAAATGTAAGTTTCTAACATTGTGAACACGATTAATTCTAACTAAAGTGAGATTATATAAGTAAGGTAATTGATTAACATTCTGATTAACCTTTAAATTATTGTACGGTTAGTATAAACCTCAATAATGACACCCAGACACCTCATTTTAATACATGGCATTTCAAACTTGATTAAAATAATACTGAAGGATAAACCTGAAATCATTTCAAACTTGATTAAAATAATACTGAAGGACAAACCTGAAATCATTTCAAACTTGATTAAAATAATACTGAAGGATAAACCTGAAATTCCACATTAGCTAAGGATAATTTTACAAGTTCACATTTGATATATTACAAGCAATCAAATCAGGCCAGAGAGCAGACTGATTAACATAAATAA